TGGAAACAGGTTGGGATCTATTGGAATACAGAAGAAATAGGGCAAAACTAATAACAATGTGTAAAATGCACAATAACTTAGTATACTTAATTTTATACAAAACTTAGTACCTGATACAAGAGGCGATTTCAGGATACACTACCCGAAATTCTTTAAATTATTCTTTGCCAAAATACAGATTAGATCTATATAATAAATCTTTTATTCCCGATACTGTTAGAAAGTGGAATTCCCTTAGTCTTAAAACAAGGGAGGCAACTTCTATCAAAATTTTTTAAAACCATCTGCAAAATAGTAATGTAAAACCTCAGAAATATTTTTCTTATGGAAAAAAGGTTTTTGAACGTAATTCATACAAGATTAAGACATAATTGTATTTTAAATTCTGACTTATATCGTTGTAACCTAATAACCAGTCCTAATTATTCTTGTGGACTACTAAAAGATGAATATCATTTGTTTTTTGATTGTAAATACAATGTAAAAGCAAGAAATTCCTTAATGAATAAGCAATTGTCATTTAATTATTTACATGTTATAGATGTAAATTTAATGCTATGGGGCTATGATTCTCTTACTATTGAACAAAATGCTGAATTTTGAAGACTATTCAAGCTTTATGATATGAATGTGGTCGTTTTTTCAAAATAAGTTTATCTCTCTCTCTCTCTCTCTTATTATCTCAAATTATATTTGAACATTTAAATTTTTTTTCTTTCTATTACTACGATGTATACAATGTATGTAGTAGACCATATGTATATATGTTTTCTATTTTGGCAATTTTACAAAATGTTGTATTAGGAGAGGACTATCTAAGTTACTGAACTTGTGTCCGATCCTTTTGGCTTTGTCAATAAAATATGTTCAATTCAATTCAATCATTTTCAGTAAAACTGTCACTTTAAATGATAGACTCACAGAGTGTTAAAATTTTGTCTATTTCTATGGAATGTTTCGATTTTTTTGCTAAAAATAATAGCAAAGCGGTACAGAAACTTTAAAAATGTTGACTTGTTTGCTTTTCAAAGTGCTAAATTAAATTTCTCCGACATCTAAGCGCGGGTGTAGAATATCAACTTTTTTTTGGACAGCCATTGACATACCAAGAAACATAACTCTTGATCGATCGCTGTTCATTATTTCCACCCTCTATCATCTTGACAATTTAAGAATATATCAAATATGAATAATTCATAGCAAATATTTATTGTCCCCCGCTTTCGCGAAAGCAAGGGAACATTAAATCTCATTCGTCTGTGCGTCTGTCCGTCTGTCTGTCTGTCTAGCTGTCCGTCCGTCACAAAAACCTTAACCTTGCCCATAACTTTTGATTTAGCTATGACTTTCATATTTCATTTGTGTATTCCTTGTTACAAGACCTTTCTTTCGGTACCACCAAATTTGACCTTTTGACCTTGACCTTGGAGTTTGACCCACTTTTACACAAAAATTCCAAACTTTTACTTTTACCATAACTTTTTAATGGTAGGTAGTAGGACTTTCATATTTCACATATCTATTCTTTGTAGCAAGACCTTTTATTGGACACCAACAACTTTGACCTTTTGACCTTGACCTTGGAGATTTCCGTACTTATGAAAAAACTTTAACCTTGACCATAACTTTTGAATGGTAAGGGCTAGGGCTTTCATACTTTATATATATAATTCTTGTGAGAAGACCTTTCATTGAATACAAAGAACTTTGCCCCTTTGACCCTGACCTTGGAGTTTGACCTACTTTTCAAAAAGTTTGACCTTGACCACAACTTTTGAACAGTAGATACCAGGACTTTCATATTTCACATATGTATTCTTTGTGGCAAGACCTTTCATTGGATACCAACAACCTTGACATTGGAGATTTTTGCACTTATGAGAAAACTTTAACCTTGACCATAACTTTTGAATGGTAATGTTAGGGCTTTCATACTTCACATATGTAATCCTTTTGAGAAGTCTTTTCATTGGATACCAAGAACGTTAACCCTTTGACCTTGACCTTGGAGTTCAGTGATAATTTTTAAATCGATGACATGATAGGGCGTTCATATTAGACACAAAATGTCATTAAAAAATGACATCTCACTCAAAAAGACACCGAAACCGGGGAACCACAATTCTTTGAAGTTGCTTGTTTTAAATTTTAAAAAAAATACACAACCTAAAGCTTTCATGGCTTAGGTAAAAAGCAAAACAAAATGAAAGTACATACAACTTATGCAAAAAAGTTTCAACAGGAAGATTTTCTACTGAGGAAAGGGATGGTTATGATTTCCGTGAGTGAAGAGTACTCGTCATTTAAGCAAATTAAGACAGTCAACTTTTTAAAGAGCAAAATAAACATTCAACTGTGAAAGTAAGAAAACTAAACATTTTTATAGCACTGCCAAATCATAATAATTCAGCAGGAAAATAAGACGGAACACGGGATGAAGGATCTATCGATCTGACTGCATGCAAAATCCACTTTTCATATTTTAAAATCCTTATAACATTTATTTCAAAAGTAAATAATACAAAATTTATGTTCATGTATTTTTTTTTTTTTTTTTTTTTTTTTTTTGTCTAGCGCATATCTGAATGAAAAATTACTCTTTATAAATCGACTTTAAATACACCGGTAACTAGCATCTCTTACTGTTATTCAATGACGTCATATTTTGATATTAATAAAATGCGTCCGCCCATTCTAAAAAAAGGCTCGGTGAAAATGGAAAATCCATACTTCTAAATTTTATATTTCTTTGTCACCACTAATAAGTCAATCTACAGTTTTAGTTTTAGTGCAGAATTATAACAAGGAAAATTTACAAAAATAATTCATGTATAAATTTTTTACATGTGTGCACTTTTGTTTTTCATATGGTGTTCCGATAGAACGATTTCAATCCCGTATAGAAGTAATTTCATTGGGGGGGGGGGGGGGCATGGTCATATATTTTCAATTGGGGGTATTATATCAACTACCAAAAATTCGTTGACAAACAATTTTAAAAAATTGTCATCAGGCGTTTCACTGAGGACCACATACATATATAGTAGCTATGTTTATAGAGTGTTATAAATCGGCAAAATTATTTTGGGGAGGCATACCCCCCCCCCTCTCCCCGGTGCCCCCTGGTTCCCACGACCATGCATTTGCAAAAGCGTAACCAATCTTTCCTACCACCTATTATATTATTGCAAATTACCCTATCGGGACACCATATTACTAATTCCTACATCTGAAAGCCTCAAATGAAATATACAGTCACATATTTTTCAATTTATTAATTTTTCTATGATTTGTCATATTTTACAAAAATGATCTTTCTATAATATCTTGATTTGCAAGTTTTGATTTGTTACATAGCAACGGATTTTAGTAAAGTCATAATCTTGACATAATACAAAATAAATTAGCAATACTTAATCTTTTTAATATAGGAAACATTTGACTGAACCATAGTGATAAAAGATGTCATGACTTCTCATATATACTCTTTTCACAATTTCATATAATTGTATATAAAGCACAGATTTCACTTATTTAAAATTCTTAATTACAAAAATTAATATAGAAATTCAAATTAAACAGTACTAGGAATTTAACTGAAATAAATAAATGTTACACTACAAACAATTATTTCAATAATCCATGAACGTAAAATTCATTTTCATATAAAACTTTTTTTTTAATTACATCTCAACTTATGAAAAGAACACCTTAAACAACCTATTTTGAAAGATATGCTAGGGTATACGAGCATCCGTGAAATGAAATGGATTTATGCTGCATGTCATGGTAATATAATTTTACATTGGTATTTAGTAGCAGATAACTCTAGAATTTAGTAAATCACAGAGGAGATGACTCCAAAATTTGATTAATAACTATTAGAGGATACCTCAGAAATTCAATAAATCACTAAACTTTGTCTCTAACCTTAAAAAAAACAAATAATAAATGTCTATGGACATAGCCTCCTTCTGCCTAAGTTAAGGATTTTTTAAAATTATGTTTAAGGTGCATTAACCCTCATTTATTGTAAGTTTTACTTTTTAATATGCTAATGATTTCCAAAAAAAAATCTTAAATGTATGATTAGAATACACACAATTTAAGCATATTTAATGAGAGGCAAACATTGACAGAAATATTGCCCTTTCATTTCAATTTTACTGGACTTCTTTATAAAGGAGTAATAATTATTTTATCCCAGTTAGAGTTATCTGTCTTATCAGATGTCAATAAACCTTAAGCTGTAGGAGTGGGATAGCACTATCTGGGATGAGTGAATGCTGCATTATTACTTGTTATCTTCCAAATTCAATTCAAAATTTAAATCTTCAATAACATATATTCTTAAAAATAAGATTAAGTCACTGGAGAAAAATAGAGGGAATTTTTTTTTAAGTCTAACACAAGGAATATGAAATATTGAATTATGTTTATTATGCTAAGAATAAAGTATTGGTCAATAAAATAAATTCTCCTCACGGCAGAAATATATCCTATATAAGAAGAAAATAAAGTATGAAAGGTATATAGTATACTTTATCATACAGGTAAATTTAATACAGACTATATGCGGATTCCCTAAACTGAAAAAAAGCAGGGATTTAATATTTTACAACTGAAAAAAAACTTAAGGAAGTACTAATTTAATGGGGCTTAATGGGCTAAGTATGTTAATTGTTGATAAAGGAAAAATTAGGATGAAAGCAACCATACGAAGTATTGATTTAATGCTAATTCTGGATTTAACAAATATCCACTTGTAAATTTTTCCAGAAATGTTGTTGAACTTTCACTTTTCCTCTAAGCATCCTTCAAAAACACATAATAACTGTTAATTAATAAACAACTGCAAAACAAATTATAAACAATATAATATTTACTGCATTAGTAGCTTAGGAATATTTTTTACAAATAATTCATTGTCAATAACATCGCAACTTGTCGTATTTTCTTTTGAATTTTGTGAAATTGCAAATACAGTCAACTTTTTTATAAAAATCATTTTTTTAAAAATTAACATCTGAAGAAAAATAAACTCTAGAATTCTTTACTATAGTTGGGTATTACAATTCATAATTCAAGGTTATTAAAGATTCGATTTTTTGTGTTATGGTTTTCTGGATTTGAAAAGACATAGAAAGGTGAAAAAATGTTCATTTTCACAGTGTAATACCATGCAACAATTTTTTAATTGCAAAATTTGCCATTTGAAATCTGTCAGTGATTAAACAAATGCCTTGCATATTCACAGTGACATTTCCACCTGTGGATTCAGTTATTTATCTAAAATTCACATCCCATAAACAAGGTTTAAATAACACATACATGTAATTATATTAATGTATATCAATCAAAAAAACATCCAAAAACTGACTTAGTGGCTCATCCACAAAGTAAAAAAAAAACATCACTTCATTTACTGCACACATCCTATAAATTCATCATTTCATTGAAACCAATTAACATGCAATATGAATTCACTGCTTCGACCGTTACATGGTGTGAATTTCTGAGTTTTGTAGCTGATACCATTTGAATTTATTTGTTCATCCACAGTATCCAAGTACCGGTATTCATCAGATCATCTGCTTCATTATATGATATAAGTTCATCATCCTCACTTATGTATTCTGATTATTTCATATCACTTCTTAATCCTTTTGCTTTCACCGGTTAATCCATTAAGGTCCCATTTAATTAATTAGTAAAATCTTCCTAAGAGTCCACTGGTTCATAAAAATCTTGGGGTTCCTCAACTGGTGTAGATTCTGGTACAAGTTCAAGATATTTATTCTTTCCATACATGTTCACATAATCGATGGCCGAACAAGTTGATGTTACACTATCTTCTAATGGATTTCTGGGAGGGGCTTTCCAGACTTTAGAATTTGGCGTACTCTTCCTTTCATCACAAATATAATACTCAGAACCTTCTCCAGTGGAATACAGTTTAGCTGTGTTGGGTTTAGGGGCCACATAAAAGTCATCCGTAAACTCCACTTTTTGAGATGCATTCCCTTTTCGGGGTGTATTTACATAACCAGGCTCCTTCATATTATGACTAGGGGGAGGCGCTAGCTCCGTTTCACTCTTTAACTGTTTTCTTTTAGAAGGAGCATTTTCATAATCCACTGAGGAGGTTGAAGGTGGATCAGGGGCCATGAAGGCAGGACAAGATGGTGCCTCAGGTTCTATGGAAACTGTTGAGGTCGGGTCTTTCTCGTAATTGCGTCTTTCCTTTTTCTTCTTTTTCTTGCTCTTTTTACTGGCTTCTAATGCTATCTTGTCAATATCCTCAGGGTTAGGGAGAGGGTTAGGGGGTGGTTTATTCTTCTTCTTCAAATATCGACCTCTGTAAAGTATCATAATAATAGAGAAATCATGACAATGATGCTGGTAGGTGATAAGAAATTGGACAAAGCTATTTGATCTCGATATATCGAATCATGCAAGCTTTTTAATAACCTGTCAACAGATTGATGCTATGTTCAAAGTTTGCTGTCCATATTACATATATTGCTATTAATTAATTTTATTTGATGAAAATATTTCTAAATAAACAATAGTCAATTTTTGCAAAGGAACAAACACTTTTTTCAAGTGAAAGTTTATTATTCTCTCCCCACCCTAACAAATTAAAAGTGAAGTGTTTAAATGCTGATATACAAGAATGTATATATTTTATGTAGAACTAGAACAAACTAGATTGTACAGGAAATGTATATATGTAAGAAACCTTTCTTAGTTACATAAAAGTGCTTCACCTCCCATATTAATTTACAAAGTGATCCCTATATGTATACAATGCATGGCAACACGAAATTCTCAAGGTAGGGCCATCTTTAAACAAGAGGCCCATGGGCCACATCGCTCACCTGAGCACTAAGGGTAGAAAAAAAGTAGAAAATGGCTTTTTATTGTAAAGTTTAAATCCAAAAGTAGTCCCATGACCAATCATGGATTTGCTATTTTTTATAAAATGATTTTTAAAGAATCTTCCTATATATTTCTTAAAAAACTTTGGTCAGCCATTTTGGCCCCGCTCTACCCCTGGGGGTCATGATTTGAACAAATTTGAATCTACACTACTTGAGCATGCTTCCATATAAATATGATGAATTATAGCTTTGTCATTCTTGAGAAGAAGATGTTAATTTAAAGAATTTTCCTATATATTTCTATATATACTTTGGTCGGCCATTTTGGCCCCGCCCTACCCCCGGGGGTCATGATTTGAATAAACTTGAATCTACACTACCTGAGCATGCTTCCATATGAATATGATGAATTATGGCTTTGTAGTTTTTTAAAGAATTTTCCTATATATTTCTATGTAAAACTTTGGTCGGCCATTTTGGCCCCGCCCTACCCCGAGGGGTCATGATTTGAACATACTTGAATCTACATTACCTGAACATGCTTCCATATAAATATGATGAATTATGGCTTCGTCATTCTTGAGAACAAGATTTTTAAAGAATTTTCCTATATATTTCTATGTAAAACTTTGGTCGGTCATTTTAGTCCCGCCCTACCCCGGGGGGTCATGATTTGAACAAACTTGAATCTACACTACCTGAACATGCTTCCATATAAATATGATGAATTATGGCTTTGTCATTCTTGAGAAGAAGATTTTTAAAGAATTTTCCTATATATTTCTATGTAAAATTTTGGTCGGCCATTTTGGCCCCGCCCTACCCCCGGGGGTCATGATTTGAACAAACTTGAATCTACACTACCTGAGCATGCTTCCATATAAATATGATGAATTATGGCTTCGTCATTCTTGAGAAGATTTTTTAAAGAATTTTCCTATATATTTCTATGTAAAACTTTGGTCGGCCATTTTGGCCCCGCCCTACCCCCGGGGGTCATGATTTGAACAAACTTGAATCTACACTACCTGAGCATGCTTCCATATAAATATGATGAATTAAAGAATTTTCCTATATATTTCTATGTAAAACTTTGGTCGGCCATTTTGGCCCCGCCCTACCCCCGGGGGTCATGATTTGAACAAATTTGAATCTACACTACCTGAGCATGCTTCCATATAAATATGATGAATTATGGCTTTGTCATTCTTGAGAAGAAGATATTTAAAGAATTTTCCTATATATTTCTATGTAAAACTTTGGTCGGCCATTTTGGCCCCGCCCTACCCCGGGGGGTCATGATTTGAACAAATTTGAATCTACACTACCTGAGGATGTTTCCCTATAAGTTTCATCTTTCCTGGCCCAGTGGTTCTTCAGAAGAAGATTTTTAAAATATGCCACCAAATTTTCATTAATTCCCAATTATCTCCCCTTGAATGAGGGCGTGGCCCTTCATTTGAACAAACTTGAATCCCCTTTATCCAAGGATACTTTGTGGCAAGTTTGGTTGAAATTGGCCCAGCGGTTCTTGAGAAGAAGTCGAAAATGTGAAAAGTTTACAGACAGACGAACAGCTAGACAGCTAGACGGACGCCGGACAAAATGTGATCAGAAAAGCTCACTTGAGCTTTCAGCTCAGGTGAGCTAAAAATTGTTTGGTTGCCCTGTCTGAACAGACTGACTAAAAATGGCCCAACTCAAAACTTTTTTTTAACATTCCAGGATGCAATTCTTTTTCCCTTTTTACTCCTCTTATCCCATCAACAAAATGTACAAATTTTCTGGAAAAAATATTTGCCCACCTACCTTAGGCGACCCAGTAATTTTACCTTGAGTCGGGAGAAGGCAAACAAACGTTATTTTAAAGATGTGGCCTAGTTTGCACAATTTTTTTTCAGAAAATAGGCTTGATAAAAAACATTTTTCTAATTGAAATAAAATTGTCATTGTGACATGTTTTTGTAATTTGTCTGTACCTCAGAAACAGAGCTGTGAGTGAAGCTAAGATGACAAACAGCAAGCTGCCTATGACTACTCCAACCACCATCCCAATGTCTGATCCTAGTAAAGACACCAAACAAACAGTGACAAAACTGACTGTATATTGATACACAGATGAAAATATCAAGTTATAGTAAATAGTTGACTGTTCTATGGGCCATATTACTTCTAGGGGACATTTTTGCTAAAATTGAAATAAATACTGTAGAAGTACTTTTTTCCGCGTGGTATTAATTTACACTATGTACGCGGACACAAATTTTCCATGGAAATTTGTCCAAGCGTACTTAATATAAATGTAAGGCATATAGTGATGATCTAAGAAATCCGTGTAATTATTTACTCACGGATTAAACAGAAATTGAGATTCCGCGGAATTAAGACCCCGTGGAAAAAAGTACGTCTACAGTATCTATAAATAAATTCCAGGGATATACTACATGGAGTGAATTGCTGCTTTCCTATTAAACCTTGTTTCATGGCCTTTGAAATTCAACACTAAAATCCTTAAAGTAAGGAATATGTCAGTTTTTCCCTACAGTTTCATCATATTTAACACATTAAGGTTTGACTGTGTCTTTAAGTTTTAATATATAAAAAGTCATGAAAAAAAAAATCACTCATTCAAATTAAAAACACTGAATATTTTATCTTGGATACCTTTACTGACAGATGAGTTGACAGCCACTGCCTTCGTGGTGGTTTGTACCTGAGTCGTTGCTTCTGTGGTGGTTGTAACCGGGACAACGGTGGTGACATTTTCTATGGCTACTGAAATGTTCCTGGCAATAAATGTTGTTGTATCTGTCATGGCTAGATAAGAAGAAAAGGGGGATGAAAATTAACAATTAATCAGCAAGAAAACACACTGAGATAACATCCTTAGCTATTAGACACTAGGGTTAAAATCATCACAGATACTTTCCGATGAATCATTTAGATCACCAGGAAGAAGGCTCTTTACAGTACAAGCCCTCTGTATGGTCACAATACTACAGTAATCCTAGCCAACTTAGTCAGGATTGTCAAACCCCCTCAATTAGTACACTGCGTGTTCCTAGATCACAAAGTGTACATCCTTCTATTTTCTGCAACCCTAGCTCTAGATTCATGATATATTCAACACAGTTTCCTGTTCAGAGTAATTCTCCAAAGGAAAAAGAAAATATTTTTGGGTTTGTGTTAAGGATGGCAAAATCCATGAATCAATCTTTTAAAAAAAAAAATTAAATTCTATATTTAACATTTCCTTTTAGAGGAAATGTGTATTTACAGTGAAGTTCACATGCATCAGGGTCAAAAAAGGAAGTATTGCTGGTCTACAATGCACAATTAAGTATTATTTGATTGTCTCATTATTGTTGCTAATAACCCTTGTAAACACAAAGTCATGTGTGTAATGGATGTAATATGACCTAGGATGCACATGCATGCATGTCCATAAGTCCTTCGTGGTGAAATTTATGTTGTATGCCATAAATTGTGTCATCAAATTTACAGCTCTGACATTAACATTACCACACGTATGTACAGACACCTTGTTAATTAATGAAAATATAATTAAAGGACAGGGTTCGACATTCGCGCTCGTCACCTCGTCATTTCCACCCAGAAATGATTTCGGACGACCTGATTTTCAGTCTGGCTCGCCCAAATGACGACCTGGGACAAGTTGGGAATATTTAATAATGATGTTTAATTTTTTAAAATAAACTTCAAAAGACACTGAAAACATATTTTCCAGTAACAAAACCAATTTACCCATTCAACATGTTCAAATTGCAGCTGCATAGATTTTACTTCCTGCGAAATCTGCGTTCGCGTTCGATCAATCAGCTGATGCAATTTTTACTAAAAGTCTTTCATAAAGTTTTATTTGAGATATAAAATATGCCAACTTAGTCAACAATCACCTGAAATATAAATAGTAATAATAATCATCATTGTAACATCTTGCATTCCCCTACAACTTTTTGATCATCTGATGATCGTTTTCTGCTGCTAGAAAGCCATGTTGGGTGTCCACTGTAATATAACACCTGATTAATTCATTCCAGGGTTATTCGACCCTATTTATTTAGGCCTTCATGACAAGTGAAAATGAATGTTTTAAGCTACAAACTTTAGCATTCTGCATGTCTGATTCTGCTTATATTTTTGCTTGATAAAGTACTAGAAAACATCTTTACATTCCAAAAATGTCTTGTTTACATTTTTTAATACAAAAAACACAACTTCTGTTAATTATCTTAACAAATTTTAAACAATTGCACTTTAAGTTAACTTTTGTTTCCTTTGATATTTTATTTGGACGAAAAATTCATTCGGGCAACCTGTAATCATACCAAGGTTGCCCAAATGGCGAGATCAAATTTTGACGAGTGTGGAACCCTGAAAGGAGGACTTACTTTCTACAAAAATACATGGATGTGAATTTTAAAAAAAGGGTTGATATATAGTCTACTTACACATTTATTTCCTTATTAAATCAAATGAGTTATTTTTATTTCCAAGTTTAATCTAACTTTCATAAATTTCAAAAAGACATTGTACACTATTGCATAAAAAAAATTATGTGAATGTTCCAGGCTTGGGGTAATGCTAATTGTAATGGTAATGCATTGCAATGCATTACATGAACTCAAAGTAATGCTAGTAATGTGTAATGCCCAAAAAATTGCATTACATGTAATGGTAATGTAATGCATTACTTCATAAAATCCAGTGTAATGCTGGCATTACATAGCATTATTTTGCAAGATGTACCTATTTTAAGAAATTGACATGGATGATGGAAATTACTGTTTAGGTTTGATTTATTTATTATTATTTCTTTCTTTTTTTTTTTTTGGCAAATGATGCTACTGAATAAAAGTGTTAACCTATTTAGATATAACATTTCTGTATCTATTTAAATACACCTTTAAATTTATTCTGTTGAAAGTACACATATCTTACATTTAAGTTTTCAAACTTATTTCAGCTAAAAATTGATTTCAAAGAATTAAATGAAATTGTTTTAATAGTTTTAAAAGATCTTTTTTTTTTAGATCACATATGAGATACACTAATTAATGTACAGTGTAAACTGATAACTGCCACCTTTTAAATAGCTTGATTGTCATCAAAACACACTAAGCCTCTGGGTTATATAACAATTAAAACAATGCATTGTTTGGAGAAGTGCTCCAAATTACCAGTCCTTTTCTCCTGACTGTGTTCCCCATTTTCAAAAGGTGAGTTATTTCCCCTGAAGGGAACTCTTTTACTGTGTTTAATACGCATGCGCTATAAATAAAGTCACTTCCGCGGACGTTCTTGATGTAAACATGTTCATGGTGTAATGCCTTTGTCATATGGAAAAATGTTATTGTGTTTGTGAATAAAAAGAAATCTTAACTGATTCGTATTTTTTTTTAATTGCCCACTCATAGTCTCTTTCTGGATTTGTATTAATCTGTATAGTACTATAATAAGGTGCTGTGTGACCCCCCCCCCTTTACAAAAAAAAATCGAAACAAATTACTGATAAAATGCTGATACATATTCGAATAGGCCTATTTAAAAAAAAAACAAAAGCTAATTTTCGGTAGTGGATGTTCTGCAGACGGATCATCATTATTTACAAAATGTGCGGAACAAATTTTTAGTTATAAAGTTTTTAAGAATTAATCTAGCCTGCTGCAGCCATATTTTCTTTGTATCTCTAGGAATTTTTTGGAGACTGATGACATGTCCATCTACAGTATTACCTCTGACATTGCTGCATATACAGCAGTAGTTCGTCTTCCGCGACCGATACCAAGAAACTGCGTTTTTGCTCGATTTTATGTCATAATATAGAACTTTTACATGTACTTACAAGAACACATTTGGTGACAATTAAAGGCCTATTTCATTTGAATTAACCGTGTTTCTAGAATTTTTTATTAGTAAAATAATTGATTCATTGTATAGTATTAAAAATTTGAATGGAATTCTAAATGAATAATTTAATCTCATGTGCTCATGGAACGAAGAAAGACTAATTAAAATAGCATCGACCTGAATTGGTGTTACATATGTCGTATAAAGTCTAAGCTGCATTTAATCAAAGTTTTAGTGTAGGATCTAAGCATATGTACATGTATATTCCCGAGTAAAATACACATTTGTTTTAGATCAGAGAATTGAGAGCAGAAACACGAAATTGATACAATAATTTCCTAGCGTATTTCTCGTTAATTAACGGAAAACATCCTTTTCTCAAGTGTTATTTATTTTTTTAAAGTGTGTAAGAGAGAGAGAGAGAGAGAGAGAGAGAGAGAGAGACCCCGTGTAACTGACATACATGTACATCTGTGAAGAAATATATATACAGTAATTTTATTGAATTCACAATTAATAATTCTAATAATTTTTAATTTTCACAACTATGGTTCATATTCAACTGTTCAACCCATTTGCATATTCGTTCTCTGTACCTTTACGCACGGGGGGGGGGTGTCAAGGGGCTTAGCCCCAGCCCCACTTTTTCCCAATATTACTTTTTCTATTGAAAATTTTCATTGATAGACAGGTTGCCACCCCCCCCCCCCACACACACACACACACACACAGTTTATACTACGGTAAAGTTATATAAGGGGAATGTAGTATTGTATGCCAAGGAACTGGTACTGAAATAAGTAGCTTTTTCAACTTTGGGCAAGTTTTTTCTTCGCTTGTCAACTTTTCCAGGTAAGAAAAAAATATTTCTTTGGCTACCCCCCCCCCCCCCTTTTAAAGACGATGCTACATGCCTGGCTAATTCGTATAGCTTTCTAGAAAGGGGGGGGGGGCTAACAGACCCTTTATAAAATAATTTATTATCTAAAAAAAATGCAAACCATTTCCTTCTTTTAAAATTTTTAAATACAGCGTGTAAGTTGATCACTATTTTGTTGAATTATCGTATTGCGTAGTCCGCGGAAGTTAGGCTAGTGTAGAAGAGTTCCGATTTTGAGGGGAGATAACTCACTTTTGAAAATGGGGAATAACACATTAATTAAGCTGGTCTAGCTTGTGCTGACCATGAAAATTCCACTGTACCAAAGAAAATAGAAGCCATGCAGGCATTCTATGTTTCACTGTGCTTAGCAGATCATAATGTACATCCTGTCTACTTCTTCAAAATGTTTGTCAATGCATTTATTTTTTTCATAATGTACTAATCAAAATAGCCTATATGCTTTATTATTAGATATTTAAGGCAGGGGTTAAAGTGCCCCAAAAGTTAAATTACTTCATGACTTCAATAGTTCCACAAAAAGTGGATAAGTAAGTAAGTAAGTAAGTAAATTTTATTTAAAGTCGGCATTGTATACAATACATAACAATTAAGAAACATGAGCTCTGTAGAGCTCTTAAACCGACTATCACAGTTAAAATATCACAGGAAAACATTTACAGCATAAATTAACATGCAAAAACACATGTACATATATACACATACAAATGACAAATAAAACGAATTTAACAAATTATAAGAATTTATTATTTCATTAGAATAAGTTAAAGAAAAAATAGACAAATTGAAAAGCAATACGATTGCATTAAGAGGAACAAAAATAAATATAACGTGAGTATTATAAATAAATAAATAAAAGTTATATGATAATAATAAAAATTAAGCACTAAGTTTAATCCATAAATTCAGATAAAAAAATAACTAAATGTATTATTAATAATAATTATAATAAATAAATAAATAAATTTGAAAGTTTAGAAAATTAAAAATTCACACAGACATGATAGCTAAACCAAATTTGATAAAGAAGAAGGGGAAAAAAATAACTAAAAAAAAAAAAAAAAAAATAATAATAATAACAGTAATTTAAAAATAATTTATGTTCGTCATCAATACACATCCTGCCTAGTGATTGGGTCAATCCCTACCTACATAGGCAAGATATGCATTGTTGTGAGGGTAAAGAAAAAAGAAATAGTAAAAGAAACACTAGAAAACTATGAAATAAAATGAGTTGGTATCATCAAAGCAAATGAAAGATTTCAAAAATAAATGAAAATTCAGCTGTTTCTAAACTAAGTGAATAAATAACAGATAAATATTGTC